AATATCTGCTATTTCTGTGATTACACCTCAGACACGAGCACAGTCACAGGACACACACACACACACACACACACACACACACACACACACACACACTTGAAGAGCGCAGCATTAACAAACACAAACAAAGACCCTTCTATGTTCAGCTCCCGTCTTCAAAACGCCTCAACAGTATCGCTATCATCACATCTTGGCTTATGATACATAAAAACTCTCAGGGCGTTTATTATTTTGTGCCTCACTCGCCTTAACACAGTTCACTACTAAAACACATCTCAGGGAAAAATGAATTTCTGATTCTGTTTTTATTTCCTATGAGTCACATGAGCGACCGCAGCCGCTCAGCAGCAGCAGCACACAGCCTGACCCCCCCCCCCCCCCCCCCCCATGCTACAAAATCAACAGTGAGCAAGACAAAACAGGTTCATGCCTTTGTGGATATTAACAGTACCACAGCAACTGGATCAATACATGAGCATGTGTCCAATTTACCTACTGATTTATCCGTGAAAAGACGCGATGACTCATGCACTAATCAGGGTTTGTGGAGCTCCCCTTCCACTGATGAATGAATTCCTCAGGAAGTACACTGCCTGAAAGAGAGATGTCACAGACTGATGTGTGTCGACAGTCCATTCATGCAAATCCAGAGGGAGGAGTAAGTCATTTTCAGAGCACTACTGAAAAAAAAGCCCATACCCTGTAAGTTGGGCGACAAAGGCGATATGCACAGTAAAATACTGTAACTTATTAAATCATTTTAAAGTCTAATTCGATATGAGCCAGAAGCAGCAACAGCGGGCCAATGAGACAAACAGAAATAAACACAAAATCATTGTCTGTCACAATCTCAAGATATTAAAGTTCCTCTGTAGCAGTGTCTACTGTAAAAGCTCTCCAACACCCTCATATCTCTCCTCTCATTGAAATGGTTGGGCTGGGATCCAAATGTTACTTAACCTTAGATATTTTTGTCTGATATATTGTTGATGCCAAATAAGTTGTGTGTTGTAACAAGAGTAGGCGTAATAAGCCGTACAGCTTCAGCCCGCTGTAGAAAACCTTCGATCTTGTGTTATTGTTTCTACAGTGTGGTTTTGTGGTAGGTGTTGCATATTTTCTTTGCAACATTTTTGTTTTTGTGATTATAGATTAAAAAGTGTGTGAAATTTCAAGACACCCCACACGAACACATGGAAAGACTATTCACTATTCACTATTCACCTTTTTAATTAAAAATCTAATTGTAAACAGTTTGCAACCTTGATTCTATCAGTCCAGTTGAGGCTTTTAAAGCTTTGTTATGTTGTTGTGACACTTATTTACATTGTCACATAATATGTTGATTATTTTTCAACTATTCAATTAGTCTATGACATATCCAAAAACCAAAGTTTCACCCTTCTTGTGTCTAACCGCCCAAAACCCAAAGACATTCTATCTAAAATAATATGAACACAAACATTTGCTTGTTTTGCTCGATTAAACACTTGTAACGATTCCAGTCAATTTTCTGCCACGAATCAACTAATTGATTGATGGACTGATTGTTTCAGCTCTACTGTGTTTTTATTCTTCTCTGTAGCCTGCGTGACTTTACATTGTGTGCTGCTTGTTTGTGTTGTTCTCAGGTCTAACAGGTTAAATATGCAGCTGGAGTCAAGACATAGTAGAGATCTAAACCTCTGAATTGCACAATCCATAGGATCCTTCATCTCACACACCCCAGTGGTAAACAAACTCATTCCTCTCGGCAGGACTAAGTAAGTGTAATATGTATGTTGTGTGGGCCGTGCTTTAGTAAATGTTAATCTCAGCTCATTAACATTAACCACTGGGATTCATTTCCTCTCCTTGAATCAACAATCCAGCCTCGTGAGAGGGCTTTTGCCGGATTGTGCATCGGGGGGAGATCTTGGCGAGCTGAGCATGAGGAGACAGAGAATTAGAGAAATGCTGATCCTGAGGCTGAAGGTGATTTTCTCTCCTAACTGTCGAGTACTCCTGCGCCTGTTAGTGGCACCTGATGTGACCTGCGGTGAGATTAGCTGAACGTGTGAAAAAGCAGCACGGTCCCTCCATGTGGAGCCCAAGAGGCTGCGAGGCACTAAGACCCAGTGGAGAGCAGGGGAGGCTGGGTGCCGCCTGTTCACCCGCCGCCTGCCTGTCTGCGCTGCACGGCTCTGCAGTTGCCCTGGGCACATGTCGGAGCCGGTGTGTATGAAAGTGTGTGAGGTGGGAGAGCGTGTGTGTGTGTGTGTGTGTGCGTGTGTGTGTGTGTGTGCGCGTGTGTGTGTGTGTGTGTATGTGTGTGTGTGCACCACTTGTGCATCACAAGCTGGAAGACAGGACCCCTGTTTTCTCTTTTTATTTTTGGTTCACCCTCCTGCTCCTGCTCTGCCTCTCCACCTGGATCGAAGACCTGGCTAGAGGAGAGCTGAGAGGAGGGAGGTGCGTGTCGTGTGTTTGAAGGGATGGGGAGGTGGGCGGTCGGCGTGATGACGAGATGAAAGGGGCCAGGTGAGGAGGAGACACAGGAGCGCCCCTCTTCTCTCTCCCCTTTCTCTCTCTCCTCCCTCTCTCTCCCTGTGACGTAGTCAGTGTGCGTGTGTGTGTGTGTGTGTGTTTGCTGTGTGTGTGGTAGAGAGAGAGAGAGAGAGAGAGAGAGAGAGAGAGAGAGAGAGCGAAACAGGTCGGCTTTCCTTCAGCAGACTGTGAACCTGCACAGGAGGAAGCAGCCCTCTCCAGACTGAGGTATGTCACCGACTTATCATCACAGACATCTCCACTCATACCTGCCCTGTTACCGGACTGTGGGGACAAGTTGTGTGTTTGTTTTGTTTTTTTTATTTGTTTTGTTTTTTGTTTGTTTTTTTTTTTTTGGGGGGGGGGGGGGGAGAAGGGAGGGGGACGGGTGGGGGTGGGGTGGGTTGGGGGAGTTGAAGTTAGGATGCTGGAAAGGTGGCACAGGGTAAAATCTGACTCAAGGGGTAGTGTCTTTTTCTCATCACAACACACATCACATTATCTTTGCGTAAGTGCAGACTTCTCTGGAAACAGATGCCTCAGTTTATGTGTTAATCACTTGCATGTTGCTGCCGAGGAGTGAAAGTGCTTTGTAATGAAAGGGACACTTGAACAACAGGCTAGTTTTCTCCACGCAGTAAACACCGTGTCATGTGCATATGATAGGGTCATATGGTTTCCAGCTGGCAGCCGGAGAGAGATTCTGCCGCAACCTTATATCCTAGCTTTGTGTGAATTCTTTGGGCTTTTTCTGAGGCAGCGTTCGACTAGAAACTGTACTACTTTCATTGATTTGATTGCATTAAATAGTCTGTGCAGCATGTGAGCACCCCCTCCCCTTTTACTGTTTAAATTGTTCTGTTTATCTGGTTTTGACAGGATAAAATTGACCATTTTAAAACAGCTACCGGGCACATTTATCTAATTTAGTTGATAAAACATCCTGTGAGAGATTAAACTATTTCACTTCAGGGACTTGTGGTGATAATGTGTTTCATTTGCAGCACATTTTTGAATTTCGGTGGTCCTTGGAGTGCTACAGTCCGCGCTGAATCAGAGTAAGAATCACCTGAGGGTCGCCCCGCAGTTGTTGCTACATCACAGCTCAGGCGTCGTTTACAGATTATTTAATTGGGCTGAAGGTGACTGTAACCCTTTGACCTATTCGGCAAAGGCCACCTACTTACGCCTGCGTCTGTCAGGTGATTGTTGTGCTTGATGTGCGTATGTGGGCAGGAAAAAAAGAACAGGTGTCTTGCAGGGACGAAGCCTGTCACACTTGTGAAATGGAAAACTTGCCCATGCAGGTGTGCAGCATATGGAAATGTACCAAAGGCTTAGTGCTCGCTCCACGGCTTTTACAGTGTGTGGGGTTGTGTCCAGGTGAGGTTATGACAGTAAACAGCGCAGGACCTCTTGACTACTCCTCTGGCCACACAAATACCTTTTTACACTGCTGAAGGAGCTCCGCCACCATTCATCAGAAATGGAGCTACATTAAGAAGATATCCATATCTGCACCATCATTCAGTTTTTAAAAATGTGTTTTCTTATAAATTATTAAAGTCATAGGAAGCTTCACATTTTATATTTTTCATTTTAAGATTCTAATCATATGAAAAATGTTTATTGATCTTTTCCTCCCATCACTCCAGACAGCAGGAAGCTCTGTAGTGCTGAGTTTCGCAGTTTGTTCACTTCTTGACTCTGTAAAGGGGGGGGGGGGGGGGACATATGGTCCACTCTGTGCTCTTAGCTTCTCCCTGGGGCACCGGCTGCCCTCAAATCACACATCTGAGGATGCAGATGTCAAATATGTGGTAAATTATGACCCTAGCTACAAGTGAGCGCAGACTCAAGTCAAGTCCGACAGCCATGGCACACGAGTAATACGACCCAGCTTGTACGTGTCAGATCACAGACAGAGACTTGCTTTTGAATAGACTGATGGTTTTTAAGGATTTCCTCTCCAACATTTGCAGAATTTAACTGCGGTTGGACGACAGATGTATGAAGCTGTCAAATTTCCAGATGACATTATTCTAGCCTATCTTTTAGCAAGGTTGTATGTAATGTTCTGTCATGTAATATTCTTTAAAATGTAACCTGTAGTAATGTCATGAACTAACATTAGAAAACTAGTATCAGTATTAATATTAAGTGCATGTTGTGAGTCTGTTTTGAAATGTTCATCTTCACCAGTGTCTGCTTTTAAAACAGGACTCTCTCCTTTATTTCAGGTATTTTCAACTGAAGGTCATACTGGAGAGAGACTCTTCGAGGAATCGAGTGAAAGCTCCTGTGACTGTCTGCAGAGCTCTGGGCTGAAGTCTCCAGGGGTCAGGGCTTGCACAGCTCCTGCTGCCATGACAGACACCACCGCCTGAGCTTCTCAGTGACACCCTACGACAGGGGAGGATGGGTGATGGGCCCGTGAAATTCAGCAGACTCTCTCCTCCTTATGCCATCCTCTCATGGAGCATCCTGTCACACCGAGCCCCTCCTGGAACACTTCTCTCTCCGGCCTCCCCACTTTTCCGGCCTCACTGCATCCGAATATCTCTAACGTGACCCTGCCCATCACGAGCAGCCGAGGTGGGGTGAATCTGAACCAGTCCCTGGCGCTGTGTGCTATGCTCATCATGGATGTGCTGGCAGTGGTGGGGAATTTGGCCGTGATGATTGTCATCACCAAAACGCCGCAGCTGCACAAATTTGCCTTCGTGTTCCACCTCTGTCTGGTGGACCTGCTGGCAGCGCTAGTGTTGATGCCTCTGGGGATGCTGTCAGACCGAATCCTGGTGGACGAGGCGCTGTGTCGGAGCTACCTCTGCTTGAGTGTGTGTCTAGTGAGTGCCGCCATCCTCACCATCTGTGCCATCAACGTGGAGCGCTACTACTACATCGTCCATCCCATGCGTCACGAGGTGAAGATGACGGTGCGGGTGGTGGTGATGGTAGTGGTGGGAATCTGGATTAAAGCTGTTGTCATGTCAGTGCTACCTCTCCTGGGATGGCTGCTCCAGGGGAACCAGGGTCCGGGGACTCCTTCTGTCCTCATTCCCGGGCAGAGACAGTGCTCTCTCCACTGGACGGGAGGCAGGACCACACGCCTGCTTTTCATGGTCTTCTTTACATTTATTTATTTTCTGTGCCCTGTGATGATCATTCTGGTGGTCTACTGCAACATGTTCAAGGTGGCGCGAGTAGCGGCCATGCAGCACGGTCCCCTCCCCACCTGGATGGACACGCCACGACAACGTTCAGAGTCCATCAGCAGCCACTCCACCATGGCAGCCAGCCTCGGAGGAACTGGTGCCCGCGCCACCCCTCAGAGGACCTTCAGCGGCGGGAAGGCCGCAGTGGTCCTGGTGGCAGTGGGGGGCCAGTTCCTCTGCTGCTGGCTGCCATATTTCTCCTTCCACCTCTACTCGGCTGTGGTGTCTACCTCTCCCGCCTCGCTGGCCCAGCTGGAGGACGTGGTCACGTGGATTGGCTATTTCTGCTTCACCTCCAACCCCTTCTTCTACGGCTGCCTGAACCGGCAGATTCGCCAGGAGCTGGGCCGCCACCTGGCTTGCCTCTTTAAGCGGGCAGGGCCCAGTGAAGGGGAGCAGCTGCCCAGCCGCGAGGCCTCTATTGAGGAGAACTTTTTGCAGTTCCTTCAAGGCACTGGATGCAATCTGGAGCCCTGCAACTCTCACAGCAGAGCCAGCCCGGAGGCAGCAGAGACTGAGGCCCTTCAGGAGTCAGCTGTTCAGCAGAACATGCCAGCTGACTTCCACATCCCAGGGCAGATCCTTGAGGAGACCTCAGAGTTCATACAGCGGCAACAGCTGAAGAATGAGCTACATGTATCAGAGAACGAGAACTGCTACAAAACTGTACCAGAGCTGTAGCTGCCTCTCACGTACTGTCTCTTTTACCATCCAATAATCCAAGAAATATACTTAGTTTTATTCATATTTTCTAAAATGTGTTGAATTAAAACATCTCTGTTTGTGCTACAACAGTGCTTTTAAGCTAAAAATCCAGTGAACTGCAAAACATGGTACGGTTATGTAGCTTTTCAGAGAAGGACAGAGCTGAATATATTGTGTGCATCATCTCATTCATATCCCCAATGGCCATAATGCTGCAGCATTACATGTTGCGAGAGACATACAGTATCAGGCTGTTTTCTGTGTGATGTCAGCAGATGGACACTAAACCCTTGCTGCGTTAACCACGGTTCAGTGAAGTGACAAAGATCTCATAGACAGAAGTGGTGAAACTCTGAGGGAGAAAAGCTTCAGGGGGAACAAAGTTTTCACAGTTAATGAGAAAACTATAAGAGCCAAGATTTTAAAACGTTCAGCGAAACGCATTCCGTCATTCATTCACTTCTCATTAAAATTCGGGTTCCTCATCAGACATAAGGCAATAATGTACACATTATGACATATCATCACTTCTCCATCAGACATATTGTCTTTCCTTCTGCATTCTCCTCCTCTGGGTTCAGTTTTAATTCAACTAAAGCGCTAAACATGGCCTCACTTTAGTTCTTTAAGCCCCTTGACAATCAGTTCATATTACAACAGGTTCTCTTTGACCAAACAGATGTGTTATCACTCATTTAACTTACAATCTACTCATAAAAAAAACCATCCTGCCGCCCGTCTACTTAGGTCCTAGTTCATCTCCAACAAAGTGTTATTTTACAGAAGTGAAATGAAGAAAATGACGAGGTGGTAAAAGGATGTCATTATTGTAGCTCTCGCTGCCAGTTGCTCATGAATTTGTTTGTTAAAGTAAAGGATCTGTTCTCATCATGTGTTCCTCAGTATAAAGGAGAGAATATTCAGAGCCATTAAAAAAAAAAAAAAAAAAAAAGTCTCTCCATTTGAAATATTCATTGTGTTGAAAAGGATCATTTCACAGCTGGCTCTGCTGGTGGTATTTATAATAAACAGGCTGACACACCAGTGTATTTTTAACCATTTTCCAGGAAAATTATTATCATGTTTATCTGTTCTTAGTCTTGTGATTATCACCTCCTCACCAAAATCATCTCACATTGCTAGACTCGTGATTACACACCCCCCCACCCCCCCACCCCTTCCGCTCAAAGAAAAACATTGTGACTGGTTTGATTTGTACGACGGTGACGGTGTTAAGGATTAATCTTTGTAAAAACATCGGCTACAGCACATTAAAACTGTCAGTTTGTTGAAACAAGGCTGGATGCGGACAGTTTCGGACGCCTCGACCGGTCCACACTTTACCCCCGTGGTGCCTGCGCTGTTTACAGGAAAACACAGGAGCAGTGTGAGTGCTCTTGTGTTTGTGCTATAAACAACCAGGCTTGTTGTGGCTACAACAGCGGGCAGGTGTGACAGTGCTTACATATGGCAAGATTTGCCTTTGGCCTCATTTAGCGACAAATGGAAGACACTGGTGATACTTCCTCTGATCTCAGGTGGAATACAGTTTGCACAAGTCACACAAGCAGTGACAAAACGTTCCAAAGAAAATAATTACAAGGCACGGATCTCTTACAAAACTCTCTTTTTATACTTGCTCTTTCTTGCTGCCTTCATCTATTTTGGACTGCCTCACACTGGACTGTTGGTATGATCACAAGACACTCGACACAAGGCGTACAGGGGAGGTTCATATTTTGCTGGGAGTCAGAACAAAAAAAGGTCCCTTTGTCAGGGGGAGACATAACGTTCTTAATTTTCCTGCGATATGACTTTGTTACTGACTGTTTTTCCAGAAGGGGTCGTCGTGTCATCTTGATTTCAAAAATGTTTCTTTTGTGTCAAAAGTAGGTGCAGTAATGTTCGGCCCCACATTTAGTTGTACGTTAAGTCAAGCAAAACAAGGAGCACAAGACAAAATCACTGCCATAATCATCAATGTTCTACAGTATGTATATATTTTTAATTCATTATTAGTAGTAGTATTTAAACTACAAAATATAAAACCATAACAATTATTCATATACAATGTTTTATAACGAAATAACATAAAACTGCCCTGATTTATTTCACCAGCGTCCATGAACAAAGGGTTTAATTTCTTTACAGAATCTGAGATCTTCCTCATTGAGCATTGTTGATCAGCTCCTCTTTATGGTACAATGTTGTGATAAATTCAGTGACATTTCACACAGTCCGGGGTCTTTACAAAGCGTACATCAATCCACCATTCAATCAGCTGGATTTCCGTTTCCGTAGCAGCGAAATTGCCCCGACCAATCTGATTACACACTTAAAAGCTGTTTTCTTTCTGTTGCCATCTGTTGATGACCAGGACAGAGAAATAAGCCGTGTTGAAGGTGAATGGAGGATGATATTCCCAGCTTCAGGAATATTCGTGGAAATGCAGTTTTGTTTGTCGTAACTCATGGTTGATATGTTCATTTTCCTCTCTGTATCTCTTTTTGTACCTGAGCTGAAGAGACTGTTCGGATTCTTCGTTATTAGGGTCTGTTTTTTCCCTCCTTGTTAAGATTTCCCTGTGTATCAGTTACACATCAGTTGAAATGATTAAAAACGCTGCAAGAAGATTAACTTGAGTGTGTCGTGGCTGCTGTCTGTCGAACTCACCAGACATTTTCAGATCAATAACCCCATCACATGATCAGTCCCGTCAATCATCTCTTTCCCTCTCATGCCCTCTAGCTGCCTCCTCCTCCCAGCCTCTGTGTGTGTGTGTGTGTGTGTGTGTGTGTGTGTGTGTGTGTGTGTGTGGTGCTGCATCACAGAGGTGAAATGAAGCACTAAGAACAGGATAAAAGAGGAGTGACATTTGGAGGAAGGCAGGATGCTGGAGCCCGTCATCTGGGAGACGTTGTGAACAACACTGTGAGACCCGAGAACCAAACTAACCTACACCCACTGACACTGACCAGACTCACGTTTCAATGAGTGTACTGATGAGGTGAATCCAAGCTATTATCCTGTATTGCTTTTCAAATATAAATCTTAAATCTAGTGATGGGAAAAGATGAAATATGAATAAAGACAAACAGTTGAGCAAAGAGGAAATTTTGTGGCTATTTGTGTTTGGACTGTGCAAATGAATACACAAAAATCCCCTTAATCTTTTCTATATCATAGATTATAATGTGTATCTGACGTGTTTTTGTAGGTAAAGTTTCAGTTGTGGCATGTACTAGCAGCTGTTTTTTTCACCAGAAACATCCAAACAGATTCCACCATCAACCAGCATCACCCCCCCGAGGCTCTTCCACTGTTTTTTTTCTGATCATCCTAATTTTCGTACCCTCTCCTGTGCTGCTCCCCATCGGACAGAGTGACTCATAGCTTTCATGTCGAGCCGGGGAGAGCACCTCCCACAGCGCAGGGAAACGGCTGAAACAGCCTGACCTTTGTGATAGGCTACAACACACGCAATGAAGAGTGCTCAAGGGACAGATCCCAGCGTCATGTCACTCCAGAGGGTCACTGGGTGCACGGCGCATTCATTTGGCAGACAGGTTGGGGTGTGTATTGTTTTTTTGTTTTTTTTATTTAGCTGTGATCATCTCAGATGCCACTTGCAGCAGCAAAAACAAGAACACAAATGTTTATCTGTGAGTTTATGAGGCCGTCTGCAGTGAAAAGTCACCGGATCACAGATGAACCCAATAACATGAATTTCTCACTTACTTCCAAATCCCGTCTTCTCTGAAATCAGCTGTTTCCTTGGTAACCTGAGCGGTTGACAGTGGTGAGGGGTTTGTTTGGCAGGAGGAGCAGGAGGAGCAGGAGGAGCAGGAGAGCTGTTTGGAAAAAGGAGCAAACTTACAGATTACTGAATTTAATGACAAGCACTCTGTGGACTTTCAGGAGGTTTTGATCAGCCTATTGATTAATTAGCCAGCCACAATTTGCAATGCGATTTTGAAATAACTTTCCTGGTGTTGGAGTTCAATTTCTAAATCTCCACCTCAGATATTATATGTTGTTTTTCTTATGTACATTTACCTCATGTATAATATAATTTTACCACTTTCAAATAAGGCACCCGTGTAAAGGGTTTATAAGATGTAACTAATGGCTTTAATAATGCTTAAGAGAAAATTCACTAATGCTTTCTGGATCAGTTATAAAAATATTTTGGGTTTCTCTCTGTTGGTCATAAAGCATTACGGCCGCGTGCTTGTATGTCTCCACAAACCAGTCCAGTTGCAGTTTACATGCATGTTTGCAGAACATTATGATGTCTCAGTTGACCTTTGACCTTTTGAACATAAACTTTGATCACTTCATAATTTTATCCCGTTAGACATTGGTGTAAAATTATGTCATTATCATCTTGTGATTTCTTGAGTTATGGCTAATAACGTGTTTTGTGCAGTCACAGTGACCTTTGACCTTTCACAACGAAATTCTTAATTTTATTGTGTTCATTTCCTCTGTGCTCTTCTATTAGTATTAATAAATTATTAGTTCAGGTGAATATTTGTGAACATCTCAGGCTACGGCTGTAGCTGGTGCAGAGGCATAAAAATGCTTAAAAAGTTGTAATAGAGCATAAAATAAGTACATAAATATGAAAAGAGTACATAGTACATTGAGTTTGATCTGGAAGATAAGTGGTCATACAGTCCAATGAGTCCTTTTGATAACTTGACAGTTTCAATGAAAGGCTTATAAACTATCTATAAAGCATCTGTTTTCATGATTAAGAAAGGCCGTCCAGTAGTTACAACATATAAACCCTTAATGGGGAGTGGTAGCAATATGATTTATAGCTGTATTATCTTTGGTTGTCATCAAACAGAAAGATGTAACAGCTGTACAAATAAGATATATTTTATATTATATATATGTATTTAAACCTGACGTTAAAGCAAATGCAGAAACAAGAGAGTCTATATTTCACTGCCGTTAGGTTTCCTTAG